CTTATATATATCCCTTAAATCATTTTTCATCTGCTCGCTTAATTTGGATAGTACCTACAATGGTTGGGCATGGTGGGACATCAATACGAACCTAGTCAAAAAAATGGGGCATTTACATACATAACACACAGTTCTTATGGATTTATATATCTAATAAATCCAGACCTATTTGGGATCATTTTCATTTTTTATTTAACTATTATTATGTTTTTAACATATCATTTAATTTAATGTATTTTAAGTACTTTTATTTTTTAATTTTTAAAATTAAATCAACTTATTTTTACAAATATTCAAAGGAGCATTACAAATATTTTAAAATATAATAACCACTAAAAATATTTTATTTCAAATTAAAATATAAATTAAGCAAAAAAATAAAGTGGTGGCAAGAGTACCTAAAACTTTCACATTGACATAAACATCATTCAAATCTTTCATATTACATAAAAATATCGTTATAATTAACTTTTAAAAAATGACAATTATCACACAAATTTATAATCATATAATGCATATGTATTTACATATCTAAATCCTAAACTTGTATATTTATATTTATAACACTGACGCAAAAAATTATGCATTAAAATATGTACGATTTCTTTTAAAAAATTAATGATATTTTTCCTTTAATGTCAAAAATTTGAATTATATGTACATATGAAATGTTGTATTATATATGTAAATATACAACAATTGAGAGGCACATGTAAATGCCCCATATAAATATCAAACTGGGTCTTAAATATGTAAATACATACAAATTGTGTGATATGTATGGCAATTTCCAAAAAAAAAAAAGAATCAGCAAGAGTTTAAGGGCTTGTTTGGGTCAACTTATAAGTGCGGGGCGTTTTTGAAATCTCCATCTAATCGTTTGGTTTGCACGTTTTTAAAAACGTTGTCTACAGCGTTTGAGTTTTCTACACTAAATGCAGACCACGGGTCGACTCCCGCAGGCCGCATTTCAGGATAAGATTTTTCAGTTGTCTTTATTACCAATTCACACGATATTTACTCTTGATTATATAAGACATTCAACATGTAATTTCATGATAAATAGTTAATTAGCCAAAGACAAGGAACCTTCTAGAAGGTTTAACATAACGGCTAGTAATAATTAAGCATACAGTTATGTAAGAAAGATTTCTGGAAAACAAGGGATAGAAACTATGAGATATCTAACATATGAGTGAAAAAATGTTACATATAAACTATTAAGGGCCAAAAAAATAAACATACAATTTGAATATATAATATATAATAAAAAAAATCTCAAGATAATATAACATTTAAATTAAGTGGCATGTAGTGAATGTCAACACTGTAAAAAGCTCCTATCTAATTTATTTTTGGGGCATTTACATACAAACCATTCAATTCCTATCAATTAACACATCTTCTAGCACCTAGGCTTTACCTTTTACATTTATACCACCCAAATATTTCATATATCATACAAAATACCACCATTTTAACTTTTAAAAAGTGAAATACACCTTCTCATGTATAGGTAAGGAGGTATGTGCGAGTAAAGAAATTGAAGTTTGGGTGTTAGATATGTAAATACAAAAAAAAAAAAAAAAAAAACTTTAACATTCATTAATCCTTTTTAATTGCAATATGATTTGTCAATATCAAAATCACTTCCAAAATGTTAAAAGGCCTCAAAAATAAAAAATAAACATCAATATTATGCCCAAAATAATCATACAAAACATGTTATATGAGTGTGTCACCAATTAGAGTTATCAGACTCAACATCATTAACATCATTAGGACAAGCATCAGTTCTTCCTTAATAACGCTTTCACCCTCATCTAGTCAATCTGCCACCATATTTTAAAAAAAAAAACAAATACAAATTTATAAAAATGCAAAAAAGAGAAAATTTTGCCGTAACTAAACCCTAAATTTCTTCAGTGGCTGCTTCAACAAAATCATATAACATTTCTGATCGAGAAGGGAGGCTTTGTGGGGAGCAAACACCATATTAGCTGGAAATGAAAGATGAAGATGCAATTCAAGCCATTCTTTGAAAAAACCAGGTTTAAGGTATGTTAGTAGCTCGGTCTTTGTATTATCAAAATATTGTCATGTTTGGTGCAATATGATTTGATTTTCCAGTGTTAATTTTATTTATGGAATCTAAATGGGTGTAGGGTATTTGCTCTTCTTTAAATCCAATGTCTTGCTTGTTATCTGAATGATTATCTAAATTAATCTATCACCACTATGTTCTCTCTTGTTTAGAAAAACAAAATCTCATGGTGAATGAGTGAAAATCTAAAGAACCAATTTTAGAAACAACTCAGAAAAGGGATTTGACGTCGATAAGTCAAAGTCAAAGTAGTAACAGAAGTCAAAGCCAAGCCTTGCTCGTATCAAAGTTGAACTCATGCATCAAAGACGAAGTCTTGCGTGCATAGGTAAACCAAAGCTCATGAAATTTGAAGCCAAGCCTCGCTCGCATGTCAAATTCGATTTCATGCATCATAGTAGAGGTTGTGCGATTATAGTTAACCTGAGGCCCATCAAAGCGAAGCCTTGCACATACCTTAAAGGCGAAGCCCTATGTTAGAAAAAGGCAAATATGCAGTTGCAGCTAAAGTGTCAAGGTAAGGTAGAAGTGGGGTGTAAACAAGTCGAGTCAAGCTACATTAAATTTTTTCACCCCCGACAGACTTAATGAGGGTTTTAGTCATAAAAATCCAAATATCTCAAGGTTTTTTTAGTTGACAACAACAACAACAAACATTTATCCCACTAAGTGGGGTCAACTACATGAATCCTTTTTCTCCATTGTGTCCTATTGATTGCCATATTTTCATTTAATTCTAATAAATTAAGATCATTTTTTATACAATATGCCCAAGCCTTTCTAGGTCTACCTTTGCCTTTCTTAACATAAGTCGAATCTAATACATCTACTCTCCTAATTGAATCATCAAATGGTCAACGTTTAATGTGGCCAAACCATCTAAGACAACTCTAGACTTTCTCTAATTTTGTCCGTCACAGGAGCTACACCAACCCTATGACGGATATATTCATTTCGCATTTTGTGTCAAGTGTAAAGCCACTAATCCACCTAAGCATTCTCATCTCGGCAACACTTAACTTAGTTTTATGCTTTTCTTTTAAAGGCCAACATTCAGCGCCATAGAGCATTGCAGGTCTCATCACCATTTTATAAAATTTTTCTTTCAGTCTAAGCGGAACTTTTCTATCACACAATAGGCCCGAAGCATTCCTCCACTTCAACCAGCCAACTTGAATTCTACTAATAACATCCCCATCTATATCACCATCACCTTAAACAATAGACCCGAGATATCTAAACCGTTTACATTTTTAATAATGTGATCACCCATAGAGCATTGCAGGTTTTTTTTTTAATTGAATGAATTAAAAATAAATATATTTTAAAATATAATATAAAAAAAATATTTTATCTATCTTCGATTTTGTATCAGGTTCCCGAATTCCTTATGTTTAATATGCCTACTAGGTGGAATCAAACAGCCCACAACAAAAAATTATGCAGCTTGAACCAGGAGAAACCAACTTAAGGCTATACCGGTGAACTAATTAACATCTTAGACATCCATACAAAAAATTTAAATAAAAAACAAAAGAACGAAAATCTCAACGGAAATATATCCATCAGAACTCTAATCTATACCGCGTTAAAAAAAAAAAAAAGCAAAAAAAGCCCACCAACAATATTCCAAGAGCAAAAAGCTGCAAAAAATAAAGCTTCAAAGGAATAAAGCTCATGTGATGATTTCAATAAGAAAACAATTTATGATCTGTAATAATGATTAAAACAGTATCAGATCGCTGAAAAACAAATCACTGCAAAAGCACCTAACAGCGAGGAACATTTGGTATAGGCAGCATACCTTGCAGAGAAGAGAAAGAAATAATTAACTCTTGTACTCAGGAATCTTGTAATCTGGAATGTCCCTGAGACCAAGCCTGGAGAGAACAAGGCAGTAGGAATCCCAGTCTGTTCTCCGAAGATACTTAAGCAGTTTCTTCCTATGTTGAACCATTTCATTGAGCCCTTTTCGAGAATGCTTGTCCTGTATGGTTTCGTACACTATAATTCATGCAGAATACATGAAAAAGGAACATTTACATACGTACCAGTCAACTCTTATGTATTTCCAGCATGAAAATGTGTATTTCACTTTCCCAAAGTAAAAAAAGTGATATTTTTTACTCAATGTAAAAAATTTAGGTGGAAAAAATGTAGAACGTAAAGTTTAGGTGTTAGGTATGTAAAGATTTGGCTGGTATGTATGTAAATGCCCAAAACAAAAAAACATGGTAGTTCACCTTCTTATGTAGAACTGATGATAGATGCTTGATTTTGGTTGTGAGCTGAGCAACTGCAAAACAGAAAATGAGACTTACATACATTGGTTATCCAGCAGGGTTCAACAAGAGCAGCAAATAAAGATTACAGAAATGAAAAAAATAATAATTCATTAAATTTTTATTTTCAAAAAAATGATTGATGAACTAAATTGGGGAAACAACACAGAAGTTATCGCACTAGTTCTCAAAATATTGATTAATTGAATCTACTCCCTCCTAAACCCTACCAATACACACACACGAAATATAAGAAACCCAAAAAGAAAAAAAAAGTTCTGAATCTTGAAAGTTTCCTTTCCTTTAAAAAAAACAAAAAACAAATCCCCACCCTACTTTCTATTCACAAATGAGGAAGAAATTAAATAAGAACATCCCAACTAAATTTTGATGCGATCCTCACTCAATTCTTTCTCCCTTTACAAAATCAAATTAGCCATGGGTGTTAAAGAGTCTCAAGCCCTCACAATATTACACAACACAAAGAACTGGTACTACAATAATGCACAATATCAACTCCGCTAACTCAACTAACTCAGCTAACTCAGTCTTCTCCTCTAGTGTCTAGCAAATAATACATAGTCTCCTAGCTCAGTCTTCAGCTCCTCCCAACAAACACCTCCAACTCTCTCCTCCTTCAAGCTCCCTCCTTCCACCCTCACCGTCACAAGCAGCATAGCAGGAGCCACCTCCCCCACCTCCACCGTCAACACCGCCCCCCACTTTCCCGCTCCTCTAGTCCCCACCCCCTCCTTCCTCCTCTCAAACACAAACCCCAGCTTCCTCCCAGCTTCCTCTATACTCCCCAAAACCTCCTCTGGCGCCACTATCGATGTAAATCTCTTCTCCTCTCTCCTCTCTCCTCCCCTTCCCCTCCTCATCAAACAGCCATGATAAATCCAGCGCCGATGACTGAGTAATTATATCAAACGCGTTAAGTGCACGCACAGACATCGGCTTTGCAGCCTCCAGCTGCGCCCCAATCAGGTGCATGATGCTGTCTTCAAGACTGTTCGCCCTTCGCTCACAGCATCAATGGTGATTCGCATCTCCGGATTTGAATCTGCTATGGATTTAAGTGTTCATGTTAGCAAATTAGTTTCAGTTTAAAACAAATTGAACTCCTTAATATTTCAATTTTGACTCGAATGAGTTTCACCCGACACTTAGAAAGTTCTAAACGAAAATTCACTGAAACATTTAAATAGTTATCAAATTTCTATAGAATTATATCAATGGGACCCAGCAAATTTCATGTGTGCTGTAATTTGAACACTAATTTGATGACCCTTTTTATTCATGCTTACAACAATATATTTTCATAACATTTAAAAAAAAAAAAACCAAAACCAAATCCTGAAGGAAATTATAAAATTGACAAAGAGATTGAAACAGAATATAGAAGCGCGTCATTCATGAAAACTACATAATCAATAAAAAATCTTATAATAATTATTGTCATATATAATTGAAATAGTTCAAATATATAGGAAATAATAATAACTATAAATAATGACACTAAAAGCATCAATAAATTTAATTATAAATTTTAGAATACTACTATAATAAGTTTAATGTTAATCACCACAATAACAACAACAACAACAACAAAGCCTTAATCCCACTATGTGGGGTCGGCTGCATGAATCCTTTTTTTTTCTCCATTGCATCTTATTCATCTTATTTTGTGTCATATTTTTATTTAGTTCTAATAAATTAAGATCATTTTTTATACAATAAGCCCAAGTCTTCCTAGGTCTACCTCTACCTTTCTTAATATAAGTCGAATCTAAAACATCTACTCACCTAATTGAATTATCAGATGGTCGGCGTTTAAAGTGACCAAACCATCTAAAACGACTCTCTCTAATTGTGTCTGTCACTGGAGCTACAACAACCCTATCACGAAGATATTCATTTCGCATTTTGTCTCTAAGTGTAAAACCACTCATCCACCTAATCATTCTCATCTCGGCAACACTTAACTTAGTATTATGCTTCTCTTATAAGGGCCAACATTCAACGCCACAGAGCATTGCAGGTCTCACCAAAATCTTATAAATTTTCCTTTCAGTCTAAGCGGTACTTTTCTATCACACAAAAGGCCCGAATCATTCCTCCACTTCAACCAACCAACTTGAATTCTACTATTAGCATCCCCATCTATATCACCATCGCTTTGAACAACAGACCCGAGATATCTAAATCTTTCACATCTTTTAATAATTTGATCACCCAAAGTTACACTTCTGTCACTAGAGCTACTACTACTAAAATTACATTCCATGTATTCAGTTTTAGTCCTACTCAAATGAAGGCCTTTAGACTCCAATGTAGACCTCCATAATTCAAATTTTTTCTGGGCTTTTTCTCTTGTCTTAACTACGAGAAGGATATCATCGGCAAAAAGCATACACCAAGGTACATCCTCCTGTAAATGTTCAGTAAGACCATCCATAACTGAAGCAAAAAGATATGGGCTTAAAGCTGATGCCTGATGTAATCCAACAGAAATAGAAAAATAATTGGTCAATCCTCCTTCAATTCAAACACAAATAACAACTCTAGCATACATATCTTTAATGACTAAATATAAGTCATATCAACACCTTTCTTCTCAAGAACTCTCCAAAGGATATCTCTTGGAAGCTTATCGTAAGCTTTTTCTAAATCAATCAAAATCAAATGTAGATCCTTCGTATTATCTCTGAACTTCTCCATCAAACCTCTCAATAAATGTATAACTTTCATAGTAGGCCTGCCCGACATAAATCTAAATTGATTATCAGAAATTTTTGTAATACGTCTTAACCTATGTTCAATTACCCTCCCATAATTTTAAAGTATGACACATCAACTTAATTCCTCTATAATTTGCAAACTCTTGTGCATCCCCTTTATTCTTAAAAATGGGGACCAAAATACTCTTCCTCCACTCCTCAGACGTTTTTTAAGTTTTTAAAATAATATTAAAGAGTTCAGTAAACCAAGAAACTCACAAATCTTCTAAAAATTTCCACACTTCAATTGGGATATCATCAGGTTCTACAGACTTTCCACCAAAGAATAACATTTTTAAACATGCTATAATAACTTACTCATAATATTTAGTATTATTAATTAAGCTAGACATGAAATATTCATTGAAATATATGATAAAATTAAGGAGAATTTACATACCCACCCAATTCCTACGAATTAACATATCACACCTAAAGTTCAATTTACATTTATACCACCAAAAACTTTCAAATCACATAAAAAATGCCACCATTTTAACTTTTTGAAAGTTAAATACACCTTTTCATGCATAGGTAAGGTGATATGTATGTAAAAATTGGCATTGGGGTGTCAATAAGAAAATACATAGGAATTGAGTGGCATGTATGTAAATCTTCCTAAATTAAAGCAACATTATCTGTTAAATTGCAATCGGTAAATTGCCCTACAAAATTATACAACATTAGTTCACAATTTAGTAAAAAAAAGATAATATATAATTAGTACTTAAAAAATTATCTGATATTACTATAATTAAAAGCTCGTGTAAATATTTGTCGAACAGGATTATGACATCACAAAATTCAAATTAAATTAGAATTAGCCAATAAAATAAAGAATATTATTTATCAAATTATACCATATAAATATAGCTTATTTGTCATAAACATTCACACTTATTGTAAGTTTATAATTTAACATGGGCTACAATAGAATAAAACAAAAAATATAGAGTAAGGCCTAAAAAGAGACTACAAAAAACACTTTCAACAACTAGCCTCTAGCAACCAATTGGTTAATCAGGGCCTCTCATACAAAAAATCAACCTTTTAAAGATAAATGAAATTAATAACCAACAGTTAGCCTAACTTCTTTAGAATAATAACAACAACAATATAATCCACATTGCCATCAATTGAACTATTCCAACTATTTGTGTCTGATTTATAATTCCTCATTTTTAATGTGATCAAATTAAGTGTTACAAGAGGTGTAAAGCCAATCCTACGCAAACAATAGCTTAAAGAGTCATTAAACAATACGTGGGATTGTCAAGTAAAATTTAGTAATTCTATAAATACATATTTAGTAAATCCTAATGTTGTTCAATTCTTAAAGTATTTTGATGGTAACTTCTTTAATTGCCTATTTCAAGAAGTAGATTTAAATGTGAATGGGATTTAATCAAAATAATAAATCTCAATGATAAACCTTTCGATCTAAGATCTAAATCACAACATAGCAGCAAGAAGACAGAATAAACTGCAACAGAGTAGCAAGAGAAGGCATGGAAAAGAAGAACAACGATAATAAATCTGCAAGTTTGAATAAAAGAGGAAAATCAGTAACCAGATAGAGAAGTGAGAAACTAAAACTAATAGAGATTACTGGCAACATACACTGAGCTTGGAAGGAGAGAAGAGAGAGAGAGTTGAGGAGAGAACAAGGGCAAGATAAGCATTACGAGAGCGAGATGTAAGTATCATAAATCTAGCCCATAAAATCTAATAAAATCAGCCAAATAACTTAAATCGGAATTTAAAAGACATTAGAATTTAAATTTCTCAAAAAAAACTATTTTGCAAGATTAAAACTAAATTTTGGTTAAATCTCAAATAGATACATGTACTAAATAGCAGTCATCCTTTCTAACCCTTAAACAATAGTTTTATCTATCCATCTAATTGGTAAATTTTCAATCTTTTAGAATACATGCTCAAACCATCATAAGTTCGCTGCCAATTTGATGCATCATCAACAAATTTTTATCATCTAGCACAAATTTCGATGCATTTTTGGTGCAATAAACATTTAAAATTTAAATTTGAAATCATTCAGGACTTTTTTGTAAGTTTATATTCAAAATGATCGTTTCGACGTGACGAGCCTGATGATATTAAAATTGGTTAAATTCGAGTCCAATCAAGTTCAGATTAAGCCATTAAATTACATTTAGAGGCATCAAATCTTTAAATTTAATAGTCAAACAAACTCCAAATTTGACGCACTTATAGTCAAATTGAGCGTCTCGACGAGAGGAATCCCACGAGCTTAAGATTGTTTACTTATGAGATCATTAAGGCCCTCAAATCATCAAAAAATTTCATATGATCAAGAGGAATCAACTTGGGTCGTTTGATCAGGTGATTATGGGAGTTATTGACCGAATGACCAAAATGCCCCTCTCCTGTAGCCTATAAATAAATCTTATCTCTTCACTTGAAGAGAAAGTGGAAGAGGAGCCTAATTTCAGTGAAGTTAAGAACAAAAGACCGAGCGATAACTTCCAGCCTCCGTAGCTGCTGACCGCCGTCGAACATAATCCACCGGTTGCCCTCAACTACCATTGATCGCACCCTACTCACAGCCATTGATGGACTTTGTTGAGTAACAAAGTGCTCTATTGAGTAACAAAAAATTTTGTTGAATAATCAAATATTTTGTTGAATAACGAACGACTCTGTTGAGTAACAAAAGAACTCTAGTGAATAACGAAAGACTGTTGGGTAACCAAAAACACTGGTGAGTAATGAAGTACCCTAAATACCGCGCAAAGACTACCTCGAACATGGTGTATTAAAAACCTGACAGTAACTCACGGTAGCAGCTGCTCTCAAGCGATGTATTCAGAATACAACGAATATTTCTGCATATTGTGTGCAAACACATTATACTTTGTGTGACATTACAACAATTTTTTACTTATGGAATAAGGGTCTAAATTTGTACTTGCAATCTTATAGTGGATCATTTTGATGGAGATAAGCCCATAATTTTTTTCTTACCGGGTTTTTCATGTAAAAAGTCTTAGTGTCTGCTACTATTACTTTCTCTTTACTTATGTGTGTTAAATTTTCGTACAACATTGAGACAATAAATTATCTCTTTGCTACCGCAAATCTTCTGGCACACAACACAACTAGGGCTAACAAAAAAGCTCGTTGTTTGCGAATAGTTCGTGTTTGGTTCGTCAATGAGTTCGTGTTCGATTTTTTTTCGTTCGGTTAGCTAAACAAATTGCGTTCTTTCATGTTCGAATCGTTATTGTTCGAAATATAAAATAATTTAAAATAATTATATATAAAAAATTATGATATTTTAAAAATTAAATTTTATAAATTATAATATATAATAAATTAATAATAATAATA